CGCTCTTCCAGGTCGGGGAAGAGGTTGAAAAAGACCCGCAAGTATGACATCATCACCACTCCAGCCGAGCGAGTGGAAATGGCCCCGTTGAACGAAGAGGATGACGAAGACGAGGACTCCACAGTATTTGACATCAAATACAGGTACCGGGTGGGAACAGTGGCTTTCTCCTGGGCTCGCTGGCTTGGGGAGGTGGGGCGGTTCACCTCTGAAGACAGTGAGTGGCCAGGCGTGTATTCTTGTTCTTTGGCTAAGTCTTTGACCTTGGGGCATTCTGCTTCTAGGGGGGAACGCCTTTGATCTCTCCCAGGAACGCACAGCACCTGGAAAGCCAGCAGGGAAGTGCTTGCAGGGAAATGCTTATTCTCAACTCTTTCCTGATGAGAACCCTTGAGAAGTCAGCTTTGTGGGAGCGAAAGGAGGGCTGAATTTCGGACAATGAGCTTGTCATGTACAGACTGTGGGGAATCTGGTCCAAGCAACCGCCATGTACCACGTGCCATGCACACAAATGGAAACTGGTTTTTCAGCCTTGCTTAGTTGGTAATGGAGAGCGTGGGGTGGGGGTTACTCCTTGGATGGAGTTCACCGCTGAATTCCAAAGGCAGGTGTGTTTCTTTAACGTGGCCAGTAGGAAAGTCAGAATGACTTTTTGACTTCAGAATTGTAGTTTGGGCTTTGGCTTCTTTTGGGAAATACTACTTTGGGTATGTGAGATTCTCAGTGTTAGAGCTGGGGGCAAGTGTAGTTTAGGTATGAGGACTTGGATGCCCAGAGAGGGGCCATGGGTTGCCCAAGGTCATAGTTATTAGTGGCAAAGTTGAGACACAAATCCAGGCTGGACCCTATCGGGAGATTCCTCCCTCCCCACCAGCGTCCTCCAGAGAAACAGAATCAATAGGATATACACACACAGAAAGAGATTTATTATAAAGGTCCAAGTCTGAAGGCCTGAGAACCAGGAGAGCCGATGGTGTAAATTCCAGTGAGAGTACAGGAGAAGACCAATGTCTCAGCTCCAACACGGTCAGGCAGAGAGAGCAAATCCCCCCTTATTCTGCCTTTTGTGCTACTCAGGCCTCCAGTGGGTTGGATGAGGCCCACCCATGCCGGGGAGGGCGATCTGCTTTACTCAGTTTACCCAGACAGTTGTTAATCTCAGCCAGAGCACCCTCCCAGACACACCCAGACTAACGTTTTACCAAATATCTGGGCACCGTGTCACCCAGTCAAGTTGACCCGTAAGAGTCGCATCACACACAGCTTTTCTGTACCTCCTGACTTGTCCTTTTCCAGCACAGCCTTGGGTATTCTTGGCTATAAAGGAGTTAGATTCAAGAAAACAGTGTTTGGGATTTCGATTAGAACTGCATTGACTCCGTAGATTGATTTAAAGAGAATCAGCCCTTTATGCTAAGTGAAATAAGTCAGACAGAGAAAGACAAATACTGTATGATATCACTTATGTGTGGAATTAAAAAAATACAGCAAACTAGTGAATATAACAGAATAAAAAGAAGCAGACTCACAGATAGAACAAACTAGTGGTTACCAGTGGGGAGAGGGAAGCGGGGAAGGGGCAAGATAGGGGTAGGGGATTAAGAACTACAAACTATTAGGTATAAAATAAGCTACAGGGGCTTCCCTGGTGGCGCAGTGGTTGAGTCCGCCTGCTGGTGCAGGGGACGCGGGTTCCTGCCCTGGTCTGGTGGGAAGATCCCACATGCCGCGGAGCGGCTGGGCCCGTGAGCCATGGCCGCTGAGCCTGCGCGTCTGGAGCCTGGGCTCCGCGATGGGAGACGCCACAACAGTGAGAGGACTGCGTACCGCAAAAATAAAAAAAAAATAAATAAATAAAAAAAAAGCTATAGAGATATAGTGTACAACATGGGGAATATAGCCAGTATTTTATAATGACTATAACCTTTAAAACTTTTGAGTCACTATATTGTGCACCTGTAACTTACATAACATTGTACATCAACGGTACTTCAATAAAGAAAAACAAGAGAATCAGGCCTTTTATGTTGACTCTTCCCATTCATGAACATGGGATAACTTTCCATTGATTTAGGTATTGGAAAAGATGTCTTTCAGAAACTTCTCCATAAATGTATTATAAATTTTTGCTAGATATATTCCCAGGTGTTTTACATTTTGGTATATATATATTTTTTCTTTCTTTCTTTTTACTTTATTTAAAAAAATTTTTTTGGGGGGGTAGGATGTATCTTTAAAAAATTTTGTTTTAAATTTTTTATACAGCAGGTTCTTATTAGTTATCTATTTTATACATATATATGTCAATCCCAATCTCCCAATTTTTTTTGCTTTAAAATACTGTTTACTTTAAAATACTATTTTATTTATACTCATGTCTGAAAAAAAATGTCTGTATAATCATGTTCACGTACATACCAATATTGGAAACAGTTTGTTAACAAATCACACCTAAATTTTATGAAGAACGCACAACATTGACATGGACTGGTTATAGATAGAGTGGAGGAACAAACCATTAGCTATAATTTGCAGTTTAGGTATAGAGCAACCCCCTTTGAGAAGAATCAAAACAATTACTAACCTGCACCCATACTGCAAAATACTATGTACATAAGAAAGTGATTATACTGATTTTATTGCTAAGCCGTTTTATCGGTCTCACATTCAAGGCACAGAAATGAAACAAAATGTGAAGACCACGATGCCCTCATTATGAGTCGCAATGGAAAGGCTCAGCTGCATCCTGCAGGCCTGGGGTTATTGTATGATAGGGAGCCCTTGATGGCTTAAGTGGATCAACAGACTGTTTTGATTTTGAGCCGTGGGATGGGATCTCATCCATATTTGGTGTGTGAGCCGACTCCACAGGGGCTAGGATAGATGGAGCCATTTTTGTGGTAGCCTCAGACCCAACTACATAAGAAAAGACCCTAAGCAAAGAAATATCACTGTCTGTCCAGAAAGTCTAACTGTTGACTCTTTCTTGAGTATAAGCTGGAAAAGGGGACCCTCTAGAGAATCTGGATACAAATATTATTGTGGTCTAAAGACTGCTGGGTGGAGGTCGTGTCTGGTGTCACAAAGAGGAGGAAAGTATTGAAACCACTGTCAGATTAAGAACCTTCCACAACGAGTCTCAGTTCTTCAAATAATGGAGCAAGTTCCTTTCCTAGGAACAGTTAGCGCTGTACTGGCATTGCTCCTGGCTGTGAAACTCACCATCAAAGGCAAATGATTTCAAAATTAAAACATTTTTTTTCAGTTTTATTGAGATATAATTGACATACAGCACTGTATAAGTTGAAGGTATACAGCATAATGACATACAGATATTGTGAAATGATCACCACAATAAGTTTACTTGGCATCTAGCACCTCACATAGTTACAAAAACATTTTTTTTTTACCTTGTGATGAGAACTTATAGGATCTACTCTCTTAGCAGCTTTTAGATCTATCATACAGCAGTGTTAACCTGTAGTCATCATGTTGTACGTTACATCCGTGGGAGGTATTCTTCTCGTAACCGGAAGTTTGTACCTTTTGACCGCCTTCACCCAATTCCCCCCTCCGCAACCCCCTGTCTCTGATAACTGTAAATCTGATCTCTTTTTCTATGAGTTTGGTCTTTCTAGAGTCCACGTGTAAGTGATATCGTACAGTATTTGTGTTTCTCAGCCTGACTTATTTCATTTAACGTGATGCCCTCATGGTCCATCCGTGGTATTTGTAAGTGGCAGGATTCCCTTCTGTTTTATGCTGACTAGTATTCCACTGTATGTGTGTCTGTGTGTGTACATGTGTGTGTGTGTATATCACATTTTCTTTATTCATCTGTTGTTGGACGCGTAGGCTGTTTCCATGTCTTCGCTATTGTAAATAATGCTGCTGTGAACGTTGTGGTGCAGATATCTCTTCAACATAGTGATTTTGTTTCCAAAGGCAAATGATTACATGGAACTACCTGGTAGGTGTTAAGGTAGCAGGTAATACTTTTGCTGCTTAAGAGTCCGAGCTTGCTCCCTGGTCTGTTGCAATGCTCTGGAGCATTTTTGTTGGCCACTGTAATAATGGGCCCTCTATCTCTATGAGACACAGCGATAGCATGGGGCCCTTTCATACACGGTAATTTTTAATACAGGGATCACTTAAGGTCCCCCAGGCACCTCCATGCCTCTTCTCCACCCCGATTCTGGGCAGAAACTCAGGACTCAGCAAGTCCATTCATATTAGTCTTTCATCCCAGATCATCCATGGTAATGACCCCTGTATCCCACAGGATCAGTCTCCACGCCCGGGTTTCTGCTTCTGGGGCTGCTTGCTTCTCTCTGCTGTCACTTTGGGGACAGCTTCAAAGACAGGTTCCTCTGTAAGCCGCTGCCACACGATTCATGACCTCAATCTGATCCTTTTTTTAAAAAAAATATCACTTTCTTACTTTCTGTTCATGGTGTCTAGAAATGCAGTTGATTTTTAAGAAATATTGATTTAAAAAATTCCAGCAACCTCATTAAACTCTTATGAATTCTAGTAGTGTAAATGCGGATCTTTTGAGTTTTCTATGTAGATATATCACTTGAGACTAATAAGACTGCCTCCCTTCCCCCCAGGTCCTTCAACATTTTATCTCTCTCTCTTTTTAAGCCTTTTTATACTCACTCTTGGCCTCTAAGTCATTGTTAAATAGAAGTGATGATAATAGGCATCCTGTCTTGTTTTTGATCTTAAAGGGTGTGCTTTCAATATTGACACTAAGAGCAGTGTTTGCTGTAGGGTTTTGTAGATGTTTTTTCCCCAGGAAGCTTCCCTCTATTCCTAGTTTGCTAATGTCAAATTTTATTAAATTCTTTTTCTAGCTCTGTTGAGAATACTATACTTTCTCCTTTAATCTGTTAAGGTGGTGAACTTATATTCATTGATTCTTTTTCTAATATTAAACCAACTTTGCATTCCTGAGATAAAGGAGCTTGGTCATGGTCATGTTATGTTTTTATTCACATTGCTACATTCAGTTTGCTGATATTTTGCTTAGGACTTTCTTATTTCTCTTAGTGACTGAGATTGGTTTGTCATTTTCCTATTTTGTAATATCCTTGTCAGGCTTTGGCAGAAGTTTTACTAGCTTCATAAAACAAGTTAGGTCGGTTCCTTATTTTCCTTTTCTCTGGAATAGTTAGTATCAGATTAGAATTATTTGTTTCCTAAATGTTTAATAGAATATGCTAAAACTGGCTGGACCTTGATGCTTTCTTTGTTTGAAGATTAGAAAAAATTATTGATGTCCAGTTCTTTGAATA